AATGAGATCTTTAGCCAAGTTATTTCCGCTAATCTGGCATTTAAAAAAATGGGGTAGAGGGTGTGATGCTTATTTACAGTAGAATACGGTAGGTCGGTTTTTTGACTTAAGAAACATAGTAAAGGAACGTATAACTTTAGGGTCAAGATTATTTTTAACTTTATTAGTAACTATCACCTAAACTTTGTATGAAGGATCTTCAGGAACTCAAGAATAAGTATCTAAAATTTTAAAATTAATTTTTATTTTAATTTCGATCAAAGTTTTAAATAAAGTTTTTGTATTATAAATTTACTTATAAATTTAAGTATGTCAATTAATTTGGTCAATAAGTCTGCAATTGTAAACGATATGTCGGCTAACTGTTGTACGTACATGGACCTAACACATGTTGGCATAAAGAAAATTTGTTGGACAAATTTGTAGATAAATTAATATTTGTGTTACAAACCGTATTATAAAAATTGTAAGAAAAGAACTTGTAATACTTTTGAAAATTCATAATGATTTTTCAAAAGTTACGAAATAAACAATTTGCTCTAATTGTCATTTTCATAATATTATTTACAATTTTTTGCTTGATTAAATATAATTCATCCCTATCGCAATGTCTAAATTGTAACAATTTGTCAATGATTCATGATGAAAAATATTTAACATACCTTCCACATAGTGGTTTTCACAATCAAAGAATTGAGTTAGAAAATGGCATATTTTTGGCATGGTTCTTAAACAGAACTTTGATAATTCCGCCTCTTTTAATGTATAAAGGACCTTCGTTAATCCCCAAAAATCCGTTTGATGAACTATATATGGATTTATTGAACCATACATCCTTTAATAATAATAATGAGGCAGAACCGTATATTGGGTATAGTTGGGAAGAGCTAATGAACTTTACATTTGTGAAACAAAATATAAAATATATTTATCGACATAATTTTAATTTCACAAACTTGAAAGAATCACTTAATATTGATTATGATAATGAAGTATATAATATAACTAATTATAGGCAACAATATTTTGATTACCTCAATTCAACAAAAGATCTTGTAGAACCTGTAAATCTGGACTACCTTAACAAGATATCAGAAAAATTATTACATTTCGGAAGTTTGTTTTCATCGTCAAAGATTATTACACAGTTACCCGAAAATCGAAATTTTCGAAATAAGCTGAAGCATATGATGTTGCCGAATAACCCAACGATACTTAATATTGTGGATAAAATTGTTGATAAAATTGGTGGGACGAATAGCTATATTGGTGTACATGCAAGAATAGGTGACTTACGATTTTTATGGAGTGAAAATGAAACAGTAAAAAATCTCATCGAAACACTTCAAAATGATTATAACCATACGGATTTAAAAAATGTTAGTACCTGTTTACCAACAAAAATATATCTGGCAACAGATGGAGGGCATAATACTGCTTCCCTTCAACCATTTTTTGAAACATTTCCATGTGTTTATGTACGAGATGATTTTGATGATTTATTAGAACCTTTAAGATCTTTAAGAAATCCTAATGATGATACGATTATGTATGAATTTCTAAAACCCTTTGTAGATTTGCTAGTAGTGTCAAGAGGTAATAAGTTTTATCCAACATACACAAGTACTTTTTCAAGATATGCAAAATTTTTAAATATAATATGGTTAAAAAATAAATTAAGTAATGCATAATATAACTTAGAAAGTCACTTGTATTAAATAGACTTTACAGATAGAACAGTAAGGATAATTCTAATGTTGTTGAATATAAGTATACAAGAATTACTTATAAATGTATCAAGTATACAGAGTATACAGGAATTACGTAAACATGGATGTCCTTTGTAACTACCAATTGGATAAAATAAGTATGTCATAAATAAATATATGCGTGGATTTAGGGATATTTTATATAAGAGATATTACTTTATTTTATTTCTTTTAGGCCAAGTCATTTATATAAGAGATATTATTGCCTTTATTTTATTCTTTTAGGGCCAGGCCATTAGCAAAGGATGGCAATTAGGCATATTATTACTATCTATTCTAATCTTATTCGAACATGTTCTTACAAAAGCGTGACTTTTTGTGTAAACAAACCAATCGGAAGAAGTCAAAAAATAATGAAAACGCAAAAAAAACGAAAATCGGTAGCCTAAACTTGTCTTGGGGGTGCTAATTAAAAATGTCGAGAAGGCAATTTTACCTATACCTCTTCTTATATCGATACCAAACTAACCCTGATCCTAACCTTTTAATTAAAACGTGGGCACATGGCTTTAGCCATTCCTATTTCTAACATAACACAGTCTATCATGCTTACGTACCTTTACCTGATTGATTAAGTACATGTTGTTAATCGTTTGTCCATAACTTAATAATTTTTTAACGCACTAAAAAATCTCGTTCATAATGGTGAAACATATTTTTTAATGCATTAAAAAAAGCTTGCCCATAATAGTGATGCGTAAATTTGCTGAATTTGCATTTCTGCGCTGGTTTAAAATTTACTCAAATCAACAAAATGACTAAAGAAGATGCACCTTAATATCACAACATTGATATGTTTTATAAACTACTCTTTAGCTGTTGATCTTGATCAAAAACCTGCTCTTGCGGGGGGGGCGAAATTGCTTAGCGAGACTTGATAACTATTAGTACATTTAATACTAAATTTTTAATGTTTAACATAAATTCTTATACATAATTTTGATTTATTATTTTTACTGCCCAGATGAATTGATAATCATTAATACTCATACAGTGATCTCAAACTTGTTAAACACTAGCTCAAAACCCCGCGCTCTGCGCGAGTATAATTTTTCATAAATTATAAATATTGTATCAGCACTTAAATAAATAATGCATGAAATTTGTTTAGAATTGGAACACTTGAAGAACAGTTAACCCAGTAATATACCTATGTTATTTGCCTACAAATTAGCATAAATTATACCCTAAAATAGCCTAACCTTAATTCTAATATAGGATAATTGTTATACGAAAATCACTGGGTTAGCTGTTTTTCAAATTACTCACTTTATACTCGCAAATTGTTTAGGTAGATAATTCTTCGTCTTCATAACTCCTTGATTTAGTTTCTAAGATTAATAAATCATCTTTATACTCAATGTCTAATTAATAACTTATCTCATACAGACTGAACAAATTAAAGCAATTTATTTGAAGAGTATAAGATAATAAGTATTTGTATGTTGATTTTAATTTCATATTTTATTGTGCTAATTACCGTGATCAGCAAATTTCACGTATCACACTGGGAATAAATAAATATAAATACATGATTTGCTAAAATTATTCCCGACCAATCACAGATTTGCATTTATATTAAATAAGTAGCTGCGCAACGTTGTCGCGCGAAACCAGGAACGGAAAAGTAGCACATTACAATGCTAAATACTAATGACATCAACAATTTTGAGTCTGTTATACAGCAGAGACAGTGCCTAATCCAAGGTGAATCCCTCACACCTGCGATCAATCACAAATTAAATCATTTATGTTAGATTCAATTGTGATGGATATAATCCCTCACCAGTTTTAATATATGTGTAATGTTAATGGTCTCTGCTGTAATTCTGTCGCTCCACAAACTGAATTATTATGTAACATACGATCGACTTAGCAGTTAGATTTGGATGAGTTGGGTTTATGAGTATAGGTATATATCCTTTCACTTGTGTTATGTTTCAATTTGCACACTAACCCTTATGCTTAAAGTAAACAGAATTAAACTTCATACTCACTTTAGTAATTTATTTAATGATTAAATGATTATGATTAATTCATTAAAATGAACAGAATTAAGCTTTATAATTTTGTTAATTTATTGGATGATTAAAATAATTACGGAATCATACATACTTTCTCTTGAAACACAAACATTAAAGTGAACAGAATTAAGCTTCATGCTCACACTGGCAATTTATTGAATAATTAAATGATTATGATTAATTATACATTGTCTTGAAACACAAATATTAAAGTGATAGAATTAAACTTCATAGTTATGCTGGCAATTTATTAAACAGTTAAATGATCATTACTAACATATATTTTTTTAAAATATATTCATTAAAGTGAACAGAATTAAACTACATACATACACTGTAATTTATTGAACAATTAAATAATTATGATTAATTATATATTATCTTGAAACTCAAATGTAAAGTAAAGTGAACAGAATTAAACTTTATACTCATACTGATAATTTATTGAATAATTAAATAATTACTGTTAATCATACATTCTTTTAAAACATAACTGTCAAAGTGAATAGAACTAAACTTTATACTTGCATTAGTAATTCATTAAATGATTATATAATTATGGTTAGTCATATTTTCTCTTAAAACACAATTATTAAAGTGAACAAAATTAAACTTTATACTTATACTATTAACTTATTAACTGATTAAATGATTATGATTAGTCATACATTCTCTTAAAACTTAAATATTAAAGTGAACAGAATTAAACTTTATACTCATGCTTGTAATTTATTGAATGATTAAATAATTATAATTAATAATACATTTTTGAAACACAATTTTAAAGTGAACAGAATTAAACTTTATGCTCATACTGGTAATTTATTGAACAATTAAGTAATTATGGATAATTATACATTATCTTAAAACATAAATGTTAAAGTAAATAGAAATAAACTTTATATTCATGCTAACAAGTTTATTAAATAGTTATGGTTAATTATATATTCTTGAAACACAAACATTAAAATAAACAGAATAAACTATATACTCATATTAGTGATTTATTAAAAAAATCTCACATTAATCATACATTTTCTTGAAATACAAATGCTAAAGTGAACAGAATTAAACTTTATATTTATACTAGAGATTTATTAAATAATTAAATAATTATGATAAATAATACATTCTTTTAAAAAATAAACATTAAAATAAACAGAATTAATCTTCAAACTCTGGTAAATTATTGAATAATTAAATAATTATAGTTAATCATGTTATGTGTCATTTTTTAATTTATGTCAATTATTAATTAATATCTGTTATTTTTCAATTTCTACTAATTGGTAAATGATCCAGGTTAATTTATAATACAGATTATATTATAATAAACAATAGCTTATTTATGATGCCAATAATGATAAATAAATAAATTTTGAAAAATATTTTTTTATCTACTAATAAATTTACAAAGATATTCTTTGCTGACCTATGAGACCTTTAACCAAATATTAGAAATATATACAAATAAATCTTTATAGATAGAGAATGCTATAATGATTGTCTTAATATATTAAAAAATTATGCAAAGCAAAATATTACATATCTACTTCATAATATTTAGGAATATCAACTTATAAATATCCAAAAACAATTAATCTATACATTTCTAAAATAAATAAAAAAAATTTTTTTAACATAAAATTTTATTAATATATTTGAATTGAAGTAATAGTGCAAATAATAATGGTTAAAGTTAAAAAAACTCAAATTTATGTATTTGCAAAAATGAATTGCAGTACTAAATCATACACTTATAAAAATAAAAATTTATTATACTTAAAGCAAACATTTTTAGTTACATTAATAAATTTTAATATATCTTAAATAAATTTGAATATTTTCAATTAACTATAATATGTATAATAAATATTTCTACAGATTTTTTTTTTAATTTGCAAATTTTATATCAATTAAAAATAATGTATGCCATTTTTTAATTGAAAAATAATATATATCAATTAATAATTAATAGGCTTTAAAAATAACACACAACAATCATATATTTCTTTGAAACACAATCATTAAAGTGAACAGAATTAACCTTTATATTTATCCTAGTAATTTATTGAATGGTTAAATTATTACAGTTAATCATATATACATTCTCTTAAAATACAATTATTAGTAAACAGAATATAATTTTGTTCATTTGTTATAGTTAGTGATCCAAGTTTTTTTTTTACAATTTGATTGCATTTTTGAATGCAGCCAATTAAAAACATTAAAGTATACAAAAGCTATCAATATAGTAAGCAGTTATTTTTTTGTGCAGATCTAAAACTATTAATAAAAACAGATCTGTGCTAGCATTTAGTAATGTAATTCACAAATTAATTTCTCAAAATAGGCAATAAAGCTAAGGGCATAAATTAAACTAAAAAAATCAAGTTAAGAATCATATATATAAAAAACCAAGTCACATTAATAAATAGCAAATATTCCTAATTAAAATGACAAGGTAATAAGAAACTTTAACACAATAGAACTAAAATTTTAAGTATTAATATAGTAAATTATCATATAAAAACTAAATTAACAATTTAACAAACAAAAAAATAATCTAGTATACAGTAATACAAATAACTTTTAATAAGTAATTCAAATAGAGATATGATAAACAGAAAAAAAGTAAGTTATAAACTAGATATATCACAAACCTGCAATAAAAAAATAGTAAGTTTTTATAATAAGAAACTAAATTCATTATATAGTATATGATAGTTAATAAATTCATTCAATCAGATATTAAATATTATTTCATTAAACATCAAATGATAAATAAGTCACACATATAAACTTATTACAAAATTTAGCATACAGAGTAGTACATATATTTTAAAATAAAGTTTGAGATGTTACCAAAAGTTACAATAACAGATCACTTAATCATAT